CCATTGTGGAAGACATTGTGGCGATTCTTAAAGGACCTAGAAATAGAAATTCCATTTGACCCAGCAATCCCATTACTGGGTATATATCCAAAGGATTATAAATCATTCTGTTATAAAGACACATGCACACGAATGTTCACTGTGGCACTGTTTACAATAGCAAAGACTTGGAACCAACTCAAATGCCCACCGATGATAGACTGGACAGGGAAAATGTGGCACATATACACCATGGAATAGTATGCAGCCATAAAAAACGATGAGTTTGTGTCCTTTGTAAGGACATGGATGAACCTGGAAACCATCATTCTCAGCAAACTGACGCAAGAACGGAAAATCAAACACCACATGTTCTCACTCATAGGTGGTTGTTGAACAATGAGAATACATAGACACAGGGAGGGAGCATCACACATCAGGGTCTGTTGTGGGGGGGATATAGGGGAGGGACAGTGGGGGCTGGGGAGTTGGGGAGGGATAACATAGGGAGAAATGCCAGATATAGGTGATGGGGAGGAAGGCAGCAAACCACACTGCCATGTGTGAACCTATGAAACAATCTCATGTGTTCTTCACATGTACCCCAAAACCTAAAATGCAATTTAAAAAAATGTTACTACAAAAGTAATCATTAGAAAGTTTTATATATAATAACAATGGCACTTTTAACTTGATCACACATCTTGATTTAGCACACAGGTATTGATTTTCAGTGGCTTTCAATGATTAAGAATAAGTTATGGCAACAAAAAAAAAAGGAAATTTGTGTAGAATATGATGAACCTGTAATTTTTGGTTATATATGTATAGGTATACATATATATATATATATATATATATACACATAGAGAGAAAAAGAGGGAGAGAGAGAGAGATAGCAATAATGGCTTTTAAAATAAACTCAAATAATAATAGAAAACAAAACATCTTCATGAATATCATAATGTTTTTTCTACAACAAAGCCTTGTTTTAAAAATGTGCACAAGGTTATATACTTTTATGTATTTTATATAATTTCTTAAAGATACATTATCAAATTAATATTTTCTAGCTGGAATATCATATTCAAGGGTGATAGTAAACACTCCAAACACACCAACTGTTACAAAATAATTATGTCTATGTGTTTTATTGTTTTCCATAATAAAATTATCATAAATGATATGAATTATTGATTAAATTTAATGTTTATAGACTATAAATCTGTGAAAAGCCACAAGAGCATTATTTTTACATACTTTTCAAGAAGTCAAATAATAGTGTAACCTTTGAGTATAACAGAATTCATTTCCACAGCAGAATTACAAATACACAAATTATAAATACAAATGATACTCCATTAAGTCCATTCTGCTTTTAACTGTACAACTATTTACAGCCACAGGCAGGAATAAAAAGGTGTATATAGGTGTGGAAGAAAATTAATCTATGCTGTTACCTTTATATTTGATCTTGCATGTAAAATAATTTCAAGAAGGGGTTTTCCCAAATAACCACTAACAAGCAAGCGAAAACACAAGAAAAAAAAAAAACAAAACAAAAAACTACTTACTGACAGTTACTTAACTGTGGAGGAAAAATCCCTTTGCAGCTAATGTTGGAACAAGTGTGTCCCCTGTAGATTTAGTCTAAGAATTAAGAAATTGGCCAAGCACTGTGACTCATGCTTGCAATCCTTGCACTTTGGGAGGTCGAGGCGAGCAGAATGCCAGAGCTCAGGAGTTTAAGATCAGCCTGGGCAATATGGCCAAACCCTGTAGCTACTAAAAATAAAAAAAATTTTTAAAGTTAGCCTAGCTGGGCATGGTGGTGCATGCCTGTAGTCCCAGATACTCAGAAAGCTCAGGCATGAGAATCGCTTGAATGTAGGAGATGGAGGTTTCAGTGAGCCAAGATTATGCCACTTCAACCCAGCCTGGGTGGCAGAGCAAGACTCTATGAGAGAGAGAGAGAGAGAGAGAGAGAGAAAGAGAGAGAGAAGGAGGGAGGAAGGAAGGGAGGGAGGGAGGAAGGAAGGATAGAAGGAAGGGAGAGGAAAGAAAGGAAAAGGAAAAGGAAAAGGAAAAGGAAAAGGAAAAGGAAAAGGAAAAGGAAAGAAAGAAAGAAAGAAAGAAAGAAAGAAAGAAAGAAAGAAAGAAAGAAAGAGAAAGAAGAAAGAAAGAAAGAAGGAAGGAAGGAAGAAAAGAAAAAGAAGGAAGGAAGGAAGGAAGGAAGGAAGGGGAAAGAAAGGAAAAAGAAAGAAAGAAAGAAAGGAAAGAAAGAAAAGAAAGAAAGAAAGAAAAGAAAAGAAAAGAAAAAGAAAGGGAGGGAGATAAGGAGGAAGGGAGGGAAGGAAGGAAGAAAGGTAGAAAGAGCAGAAAGAGTGAGTGAGCCTGTTTAATGAAGCATTGACACAGAACCCAGGCTATGATTATAGAATAGGACCATCATAGTAATTGTAAGAATTCTGGCCCTTAGAAGACAAAAATTAAATTTAATAAAAAATGTTAATGTGAAAATCACTTTTTAAAATTTGTTTGCAGTCTTTAGAATGTGAACTTTATTGGCTTAGATTTTACTAAGCTATATTTTGTAACTGAAATTGACACTTCATTTTTGCCTCAAATTAGTAGAAAAAACAATAGCCAAAGTTTGCTACAGAGAAATAAATGTTAATATTAGCTTTTTTTTTTTGAAAAGGTAGGGAACTTTAATTAGTAATACAAGTTAAGAAAATAACAAAGATGTGGGATAATGAAGAAAAATATGTGACAGTGATTTTTCATCCAAAAAAGGGTTATGTTCCTATTACCAAAAGCCAAAATATGTTTCACTGCAAATATACATAAAGATTAAGAATTGTTATTTTATGCCATTTCCCCAATAAGCCAACATATAACTTACATATAACTTATCAAGCCATAAATGTTTTTAAAAGAAATATCATTAAAATTATACAAAATGTTATAAAAATTTCAGAAAGAATGTTGATAGATATCTTGGTACATAGTAGGTTTAGTTGCATAGATATTAGGCAGAGGAACATATTTTATATCTTCTATAATAATAATTTTTTATTATCTCCTTGTGCACTAATATTTCCATATATCAAAATCATTTGAATAACCTTTCTAGTAAATCTCAACTCTGTAGATTGAAAAATTTTTTTAAACTTTATTTAAGTTTAGTGGTGCATGTCCAGGTTTGTTATATAGGTAAACTTGTGTCCTGGGGATTTGATGTACAGATTATTTCACCACCAAGGTGTTAAGCCTGGTACCTATTAGTTATTTTTCCTGATCCTCTCCTTCCTCCCACCCTCCACTCTCCAAAAGTCCCTAGTGTCTGTTGTTCCATGTGTTATCATCATCTAGCTCCCACTTGTAAGTGATAACATGAATAATGGCCTCTGGCTCCATCCATGTCCCTGCATAGGACATGATCTCGTTATTTTTTATGACTGTGTAGTGTTCAATGGTATAATCAGTTTTCTTTTCTTTCTTTGTTTTGTTTTGTTTTTTGTTTTTTTTTTTTTCTGACAAGGTTTTGCTCATTGCCCTGACTGGAGTGCAATGGCATGATCTTGGCTCACCGCAACCTTTGCCTCCCGCGTTCAAGTGATTCTCCTGCCTCAGCCTTCTGGATAGCTGGGATTACAGGTATGCACCACCATGCCGGGAGTAATTTTGTATTTTTAGTAGAGATAGGGTTTCTCCATGTTGGTCAAGCTGGTCTCAAACTCCTGACCTCAGGTGATCCACCCACATCAGCCTTCCAAAGTGCTGGAATTACAGACGAGAGCCACCGCGCTTACTCGGTTTTCTTTATCCAGTCTACCACTGATAGGCATTTAGGTTGATTCTTTGCTATTGTGAACAGTGCTGCAAGGAACATATGTGTTCATGTATCTTTATGACAGAATGATTTATAGTCCTTTCGGAATATACCCAGTCACGGGATTGCTGGGTTGAATGGCAGTTCTGTTTTTAGGTCTTTGAGGAATTGCCGCATTGTTTTCCACAATGGTTGAACTAATTTACACTCCCACCAAGTGTATAAGCATTCTTTTTGGAAACAAATTTTATCAGTATCTTCAATTCTTAACACCCATGTTTTAGAAAGTGTTAAGCCTGTTGTCATTTAACCACTATTTGCATACAGATTGAAATGTAAAACAGACAAAAGAGAAAGAAAGAAGAAAGGAGGGAGGGAGGAAGGGAGAAGAGAGAGAGAGAGATGGAAAGAAAGATGAAAGAGAGAAAGAAGAAAGAAAGAAAAAAGAAGAATGAAAAAGAGAAAGATGAAAAAAGAAAGAAGGAAAGGAAGTGAGAAAGAAGAAAGAAAAAGGAAAGAGAGAGAGAAAGAAAGGAAAGAAAATAAAAGAGTAACTCAGCTAAGAGGAAGGTCCGTTCCCACCAAGTCTCAGAAGCCTGCACTCGTGATTTTTAGGCACTTTCCCCTCCAGTTCCGTGGGATCCAGCACTTCGGTCGGAGAATAGAGCTCACCTGCCGAATGGCTCGTCTGGCCAATGGACTTAAAGATACTGGAGTTTGTCTTCTGTCTCTAGACAGCAACTCACCTACTGCGGAGGCGGATTGGCTGCGCTGGGGACACCTGCCGGCGTGCTTATAGAAAAGAGTGATTGGGGCCTGGCGCGGTGGCTCAAGCCTGTAATCCCAGCACTTTGGGAGGCCGAGGTGGGTGGATCACGAGGTCAAGAGATCAAGACCATCCTGGTCAACATGGTGAAACCCCGTCTCTACTAAAAATACAAAAAATTAGCTGGGCATGGTGGTGCGTGCCTGTAATCCCAGCTACTCAGGAGGCTGAGGCAGGAGAATTGCCTGAACCCAGGAGGCGGAGGTTGCGGTGAGCCGAGATCGCGCCATTGCACTCCAGCCTGGGTAACAAGAGCGAGACTCCGTCTCAAAAAAAAAAAAAGAAAGAAAAGAGTGATTGGGAAGGCGAGGCCGAGGGAGTGCGCCAACCTTACCCAGCCACAGCACTCCTCCTTGACGCCGCGAGCAGGACCCTGTCTCACTGGGCCCGCTGCCCACGGCGGTCCTTGCCTGCTTCTATTCTCCCGGTTTGCCCAGTCCGGAGTATTGGGAAGCGAAAGCGTCCTCGTTTCTGGTAGGTTGGGCTGGGCAGGGCTGGAGAGGGAGCAGGAAAGCGCAACTCAGGAGTGGGAGGAGCTGGGACGCTGGCGGCAGAGCCACTGAGGCAGCTTTCTCGAGGGGAACGGAGATGGAAGTCGGGGTGCAGGAATGTGGCTGTCCCCGCCTGTAAATCATGGCTGCGGAGTAGGCGCTGAGGCAGCAGTCTGGGATCTCTACTGCAGCACACAGGAGGTGCTGAGGCTAGTTGCGTGAGTGGGGAGATTCAGGCACTTCCCAGGGGGCAGCATGCCCAGCAGATGGGATAGGCCCCTGCGACCAGGACAATCACGAAGAAGCGGCGGATGCATGAGGAGTAAACGCCCTTGTCATAAATCGATTCTCCAGATATTCATCAATATGTGCAGACGCTTATGGCAGTGATGAAGAAGATGATATGGGCCCTAGGAATATGCATCTCGAAGCTTGTAAGGTTGACCCAAAGGAGGGAGAGACAGACCTAGAGTCAGGTTTAGCAAATTTATTTCAACCTGCCAGGCAGCCTCACCACAGGTAGGGAAGGCAGCAGCCTGACTTACAGACTATAGGGGTTATATAGGGGGTTTGCAGGTAGCTGGGTGCTATTCTAAGAAAAACTGCATCTTGGTTCTCAGGGGCTGACATTCTGCTTAATCAGGTCAACATCCTGGGTTTGAGAGCCGGGTGTACCCTGTGCTGGAACCTAGGCGCCCTGTTTACAAGTTTTGAGGCTGTTTTTGGTGAGAGGGGCTTAGCAAGGAGAACAGGAGGGGGTCTATGGGCTTGCCTTGATGTGACCCTAACATTCCAGTCTTTTGTTACATATATGAAAGGAAAGAGAAAGGGGACATTGTTTGTTTTTAGCTGCTTAGTACTGAATGGGGATGTTTGTGAGGTGAGGCTGGCTTGTAAGTTGGTAGTCTTGGAACATCATCACATCTTATATCGTGCGGTGGGTAAAAGCCTATATTTGCTTCTGTAGAAACTGGGTGAGGAGGCGTAAGAGGCAAGGGCCAAAGACTAAGAGGAGGAGGAGGGTTATGACAGGACCAAGGAGGGGAAGTAGCCAGAGGGCCCAAGAGCTGAGAGACCAAGCAGGCAGCGGCGCCAAGCGGAAGAATTGTTCTCTCTTATTTTCTGGATTTCTCTTTGAGCCTTTTGATAGCATTTTGTACTAACCTAGATTCACTGAGGTAGAAACAGCATTGTTTGTTTAAAAACAATTGTTTTAAACTGTTAATTTAAAAGGCACAGACTTCCTTTTTCAGCAGTGAGGAGGTCTTAGGCCTCTTTGGGTTTTTGTAGGGTGGTTGCTGCTAAAGAGTCTAGTTGGTTTTGGAGGTGAGTGATAGAATTTGCTAGTTTTTTTTTTTTGTTGTTTTTTTTTTTTTTTAGTGATTATTGGAAGCTTTGGGAGAGTGACTAGAAATATGATAATGAGGTTCTTAGGCTTCCTGCTTGTAACCTGACACTGGTTGTGACTCTAAGGGCTACTAATAAGGGAATGAATTCTATTTTGAGTGGGGGATGGGTGTGTAGTGTAGCAGGGACAGAGAGTTCTTGGTTTGGAGGGATAAGGTTAATGTTGTAGGTAAGGTAGACTAGGGTACAAGTACCCGTCTAGTTGGTAGGGAGACAGAAGTAGGTTGTGGATCTGCAGAGGAAGAAGATAAGATGCCTGCGGTGTTAATGTAAACAGACAAGTGGATTGAGAATAGGTGTTGGAGTGTTTAGGTTCCTTGTTTGGAGGGACTTGGTCCAGCTTTAGCAACCTAGAGTGAGGAGGAGGAGACAGAGAGAGAGAGAGACCCCTTTGAGAGCTCCTGTCTGGGAAAGGGGTTTCCATGTTTAAGAGGCAGAAGGGGAGGTCCTGAGGATGGGCTGGGTAAAGAGGCCATTAGCTTCAGGGGAAGCTGAACAATTTACCTGGAGTAAAGTATGGGAAGAGGAATGGGAGATGGTTTGAGCTGAGCCACAGGCAGGGGGAGGGATAGTGCCTACATGTATGTGTCGACTGGAAGAGGTGATACATAAAGGGGCTTGGCCAAGTTTGGGGGTATGTAGGATTGTGGGACTTTGGATGGCAGGGTGAGGGAGTTTTTCATGCTCATAATCGGCAGTATACACGGAGAGAAGTTTGGTAGCTTTGTTAGCGAGGACAGTGGATAGTTTTCAGTGAGGGTCAGGGCTCTGTCTACAAAATCAGAGCCTTTTTGGATGGTGTGTGAGAAGCAAATGGGAATATAGTCCTAGGGCTGAGAAACTGGGATAACTGAGTAGGCAGTAGAGGAAAGGGAAAAACAGGTCCAGCAACAGGAAGCAAGTGAAGAGTTGGTTAGAGTACAATAACAAAGAGAGAGAGAGATTGAGAGATTGTTTGAGTCTTGTCAAAGTGAGAAGGGACTTTGAGAGCGCAGAGGCGGGGCTGACTATTAAAAGAGTTAGGAACTTGAGGAAGAATTGGAGTCTGTATTTGGGGGAAGGAGTTGATAGGGGTTGTATGGGGAGATGGCCTCTTTTAGAGAGTTTGTGAGGTGGCTGATAGAGTCCTGTGGATACTCAAACTCTCCTTGTAGATGAGCAAGGAATAGGTGAGTTAAGACTTTTGTTGTTGTTGTTTTTCCTGTGGGAATGGGAAGAGGGGAGAGGACTTTTAATGTTTGGTATGCTATGGGGAAAGGCTGTTCCTCTTAGGTGATATTTAGGGATAGGAGGAGAGTGGAGGGTCCCTTGGGAGGAAGTGACAAAGCATACATGTCAGTCTGAGGTTATGTCTTTTAGTGTGGTAAATAGGTGGGGGGCAGAGAAGTAAGGGCGAAGGAGAAGGTACAGGAGGCGTGCACTGACAGGGAAGGATTGGTGAAGAGATGTTAGAATGTTCTTGGTTTGTTCTTGAAGGAGGATGAGTTTTTGATTTTTGACTATCCAGTTTCCTTGGGAGGAGGCTTTTTGTTGTAACAATGAAGGTTTTTCGGTGGGGGAATACTGGGGTTGGATTGTGGCGGTGATGAGGAGGAGAGAGGCAAGGGCAGAGGAAAGGGAGGCTTCTTTTGCTGCCTGGTCGACTTTTCTGTTTTTTGCTTTTTTTTTTTCTTTTTTTGAGATTTCATCTGATCCTATTTGGTGTCCTCGGCAGTGTCCTCCCTGCTTTAGCTGGGAGGTGTGCAGCTTGGAGGAGTTGGCAAATAAGGGGACCTTTAGTGATGGGGGTTCCTGCCTACAATGGAAGGACAGCAAAGCATGATAAGGAAAGAATGTGAGAAAACGGTATTAGATCGGGAACAAGTAAGGGTTTTGGCGGCACATGGATGCCAGATAAGTTCATCAACCTCCACAACGAAGACCTGTGAGGGAGGAGCCGGTCCTTAAAATTCAAGTAAAGCCAAATAAGTGGCCTTGGTATTGATTAAAAATGAGATTGGCTTACCTGCTGGTAATAGAGTTACCCTAGGCTACCATACAATAATGGCAGATGGAGCCCAGGGCCCTGGACCCCCGGCCCCATCAGTCTTCAGCAGTTAAGCCATGGAACTGTGGGAGTGCAAGCGATTTTTTATCTTTTGTCTTGGTGAAGGGGTTACAAGTTGGAGGTACAGGCTTTTCTGTCTGCCTGTTGAGAGGACACTCAGACTTCCAGTGACCTGTCTGCTGGCAGATGGAGCAAGGGCTTTTTGGCGCCCATTGATTGGCACATGCCTAATGGCCTTCCTTGCCACACTTGAAACATGCCCTCGGAGGTGCACTGCTGTCAGGTCTTTTGTGCCCCTGGGTGCCACAGCTAGGCTTTTTAGGTTGGCAAATGGCTGCTGCTAGAAACTGGTATTTAGCACGATCTCTTTGGGCCTTGTCTGTTTCACTTTGTTTATCCCTGTTATTGAAGACCTTGAAGGCCAGATTAAGGATTATGATCCTTCAGTGGGGGATTATGATGTTGTCGAGAAGGAGGAAAGTTGGCGGTGTTAAAGGAAGAGGAGTCGTCAGCTGGGTCTGTGGGAGTGTGGCAGGAGAGGAGTCATTGGCTGGGGCTGTGGAGTGTGGCAGGAGAGGATTCGTTAGCTGGGACTGTGGAGTGTGGCAGGAGAGGAGTCACTGGCTGGGGCTGTGGAGCGTGGCAGGAGACGAGTCAGTGACTGGGGCTGTGGAGTGTGGCAGGAGAGGAGTCACTGGCTGGGGCTGT